ATACACTTTAAGAAACTGTTGTTTTATTAGGTCTTCAGAATCTGTACAAATCATGTAAATATTCAAGTTAATTATTGTACACATCATTTTGAATTAAACATCTGGAAATGATAACTACCGTGAGGGTGGATGACATCATCTAGAGCCAATGGCTAACACGCAACCTACCATTAACTTATTATGAATATAATTGTATGTTTTAAAGTATAAATCTTTCAATCATGTAAATATTCATTTTGATTGTAMGCTAGTGCAATGCGATATTTAAAATAACARTCTATCTGTCTGTCAGTCTGTCTATCTATCTGTCTCCATCTATCTATTTATCTATCTATGTTAGGTGGTATGATTGTATTAGGTTTTCAAGTAATTGACAAGTTTCTCTATGATTTTACTAGATTTTGTTACCCTTGGTTTCAAGGTGGTCTCATGTGTCTCACCAAAGACAGCTCTCAAGCCTCCCTTTCCACCTCTATGATAAACAAGTTTTAAATGGTTAAGATTTAARTTTGATCCAGCTATTTTTTTAGCCAAACTCTTTGAAATGATTTTTCTGGTCACAAGAGGCATCAAAGAAGGTAGATTCTTAGAAATTCGGTTGTGGTGTTCCAGGGACTTACATACATACTTCAATGTAAAACTGTGCTTGGTGTATTGTGTTTCAGAAGGCATTGTGTGCATTAGTAGATCTYGTAGTGCCTTGACATCTTCCAGGCCATTATGGGCTTCATAGGACACCTCCATTATATTGCTAACAAGGTTTTCTTGCTTGTAGGATGTCTGTCCTGGAAGGATGTCTCTGAAGAGTGGCAGAGTGTCCACAAAACCAAGGACCTGGGACTCAAACTCTTCAAGTAGATTTGCTACACCAAAAGCTTTGACAAGTATTCTAGCATCGAAGACTTTGGAATTGTGAGCCACCAATAAGGTTTTGTCATGGGTTAAGGACTTCAGATAAAGGAGAAACCTTTTCAAACACTCCACCAGAGTTGTTGTTTTCACAGGCTGGCATTTATACAGAAGGCTCCCAGCTAACACTGTTAAGCTGTTTGCTCTGGAAGCATGTGTAGCTATTCCATTCAAGGGCATAACATATTCATCAAAGAGACTGGACTGGTTGACATCACTTGGAATAGAAGCTGCTGACAGTTGCAATATTTCTGCAGAATCTAACCCTGAAAAATATAATGTTTATGTTATCTGCAAGAATTGAGAGTATACTATGTCTTTTTACATAAAAGCAGTTTAGTCCTAGAAGTAGTTTTGGGTTATTGTGGTGTATATACTGTGTGGAATGGACTCGGTACATGCGYAATAATTTTATGGGTTTTTTTATGGCTATCTTAACTTATTGCATTTAGGCACCTTCTCAAAAATACTAAGACAATATTAAACAGTGGAGTACCACAAAACTCTAACAGCTTGAAAAGCATTCAATGCTTGTTTGTATCTACTCTGACTGTTTCTTTTGAAAATTTGCATTGAATAACTGCACATTTTATTTTCACAAGTCTTAGAAAGACTGCATATAACTACTCACCTAAATTGGAGGTTTCCAGATCATACACAGCAATGTTGTAATTTTTCTTTATTTYGTCTAGACCAATTAATGAGATTGTTGGTTGATAATTGGCAGTTGGAATTTCACTTATATCTGCAGCTAGATCGTTTTCTTCAAACTGAATATTAGACTGGTATGTTGGGCCTTCTGTTATTTCCTTTAGTACATCATGTTTCATGCGCATTTGTCTGTTTTTGACTCTTTGTTGTCTGTACTTTTTGGTMTTTTCCCTCTCTACCCGTTTTGAGTATTGGCTGTCTTTTGATGCATTGAAGGATAAGGTCATAGAGCCAGGTGACACATTGTTTGCTTTATTTACCTATGAATAAACATAAAGTAGTCTCACAGAATGCACGCCACATAAGCGTGAAACAATTCTTAACTATTTAGCACTACTAATATCTAGTTAGGAACTATGCAGTCATGCACTAACTACACCGAGGCATGAACACAATGACAAGGGAATTCCTCTGTGACACTGTGTTTATGCCTCAGTATATTCTTAATTAGTACATGACATAGTTGATAACTTAATTTATCAGGCGCTAAATAGTTAGGAATTATTTCACACTTATGTGACCTGTACTCTAGTTTACACTTAGCTTCAACTTAAATATCAAAATAATGATTACTAATTTCAAAAAGATCTTTGTGGACTGTAGTGCTATTTATCAACCATGAATAAATTTTTGATCATATCAGCTGACAATCCCATTTCGTTGACATGCATGAAGTTTTATGCGGTATAGAAAATAACAACGAAAAAGTAATTTAGAATACCTCACAAAGAACTGTATTCCCTTTGTTTTTTGATGCAACTGTTAGGGCAACACGATTCTGTAAACTTGCAGATCCAGATAGATGAAGTCTTTTTGGTGCTCTTACAGAGATACTCTGATTCATAGACTCATTTGATTGGGTTGATCCTAATGGTGCCAAGATCTTTGTGGACTGTAGTGCTATTTATCAACCATGAATAAATTTTTGATCATATCAGCTGACAATCCCATTTCGTTGACATGCATGAAGTTTTATGCGGTATAGAAAATAACAACGAAAAAGTAATTTAGAATACCTCACAAAGAACTGTATTCCCTTTGTTTTTTGATGCAACTGTTAGGGCAACACGATTCTGTAAACTTGCAGATCCAGATAGATGAAGTCTTTTTGGTGCTCTTACAGAGATACTCTGATTCATAGACTCATTTGATTGGGTTGATCCTAATGGTGCCAACTTTTCCGCATATTGTGAGAATAATTTAAACACCTAATTAAGATAAAAACAATGCATAAGAAAAGTAATACAGTAAATGCTGAAAGATTCTCATTCAAATATAGAATTTTACACATCTATCTTCCTTATTTTTATAGTGTCATTTACTTATCCCATAAGAATAAAGAAAGATATTGTTTGTGTAATCTCAAGGGAAGCAAGAATTTTAGTATGAGAAGACATTTCAACTATAGCATTTTATTTCATTTACAGCACTGATAAGTTTAGATCACAGCTTTATGACATACCTGTACTAAATCAGCTTTGAGATCATCTCCCTGTAGGTCTTTTCCATGAGGTAATGATTGATGACGATAAGTGGAAGGGTCTTTGTTGTAATTACACCATGAGCCACATAAACCATGGTCTCCAAAGGCATGCATTGGTATTGCATTACAACCTTTAGCAATTCCATCTACATTTCCTTTGTTCTGACAAAGGAGATAACCAAAACATTTTGTCAGATACTCCACAACGCTCTTTGTTAGGTGCTTGTGTTTCTCAGATATTTTAAGTAGATGTCCATGTAGTGATTTCTTTGCATGTCCAATGTCGGACCATACTCCAATAGTTTGGTCAACTTCTCTATGAATGTGAGATACTGTAGTAGTATCTCCATCCATAATGATGTTACCAATACTGTATTGTACTGTCCTCGTATCATCCATTTGGGTAGTTTCTACACTCCCTATCAATT